TAAAATTGTTCATCGGGTATCTTCCCATATTTAACTAGAGGCACATACAGATTTATATTACTCTTTCATTTCGGATAAAGAGAAGGCCTATGGATTTGTTTGAAAGATATATAAAAAATGGCTAATTACAATGTATTCACTCCTAAAGATTTTACCAGTAGAAGAACTGTAGCCCACTCATCTTCTGCTTGCTGGTGTCCCTGTGCTTTTGGGGGTGTCCTGGCAGAGCTTTGCCTGTTGAGAACTTGCTTGAGTGCCAAGTCCAGCCACACCTGTACAAGTGTGCAATGCCCCTGATGTCCAGCAGTAGCTGCACTTGTTACATTAGGCAAGAAATCCCCAGGCCTGTGTTTTTTTAATTCACTCGCTGCTGAGTGGTACAAACCCAATTTGTGGAGCATTACTTTCTGTCCCTTTTTGAGAAAAACAGGGAGTTTAATGCCACCACTGATGGAGCGGGTCTGCTTGGGCTGTAGAGACGAGGTATTTTTCTATGCCAAACTGTGTAAAGCATTTCAGAGAGGGTTCCCAAATGGACCTGCCAGGTCAGGGAGATGTGGCCAGCTCTGGTCTCAGTCTTTGCACTATCCCAGTAACATGCATTTTGTTCTCCCAGGCCCATGCTGCAGGAGGACAGGTCCCTCATCCTGTGCCCACCCCCTGACTGGCTTTTTGGGCCATCTTTGCACGCTCCAGCCAGACCTATAGAGTGAGAGTGCTTGTTTTGCAGAAGGAGCAGTCACGAGCTCCTGCATTCGTGGACCCCCTTGGTGCCATGCTGCAGAGCATTTGTTGCTGCCGACTTGCTCTGCTCCCTGCAGCCCGTGCCCCCCTTGCTGTGGAGGTCCCCAGGGGGAGCTGAGCGGGAATCACATGTTAGCAAAAGGCTGTGTCACTCCTGCTCCTCGGAATGGACTCTGGAGAGAGCCACAACTGAGATAAAGCAGCACTTGTTTTATTCAATCCGCAGCAGAAAAGTCCTGCTCCCACCTTGCAGAAGGACAATCTGCCTCTGTCACTCTGCTCCAGGTTTTCCCAGCTGTGCTGGAGCTGAGAGGGGCAGCCCCAGCCCCATCCACCTTCCAGCTGCACGTCTCCTCCCCTTGAAGCAGGTTACTGTTGCGGAGGGAAGCACGTTCACTGGTTTATTTCTCTCATTCCCCCTTACAAATGCTTCCCTCATCCCACCTTGCCGTTTTCTCCCTTTTAGAAAGCACAACTCCAGCTCTTTACATCACTATGTTCCACTTACAAGGTCCTGAATCACTGTTGTATCAATATTAATATGAATAAATATTGGAAATCAAAAATTATCTACTTGCTTTTCATTGGGAAAGGAGGGAAAAGGCAGCTCTTGCTCCAGAGACTCTCAGATGTCCAAATCAGCCTCCTGCATACCCACATTTGTGGCTGACGGAGCTCAAAGATGGATCCCACCTTGGGCAGGGGTCCAAGTAGAAGTGCCCTGCCTATGCCTCCCACCCTCTAAATGGTGGACTTAACCTCCCCTTTGGTCCCCCCAAACCTGCCAACATGAAGTTCATGGCTCCTGTTGCCTGTTCCTAAAAATGCCCCCGTGCCAAGCACAGCCTGGCACCAGTGCTGCCAGTAGCCGTGTCCCAGGAACAGTATCCTTCCTTAACCACACAGGCCATCCTATTAAACCCCTTGTTCTGCCTTTTCTTCCTGTGCTTCCTTGCATACACACTTCTACTCAACCCACCTTACTACTGGTTACAGATTGCCACAGTCCTCTTCCTGTGAATAACGTCTCCATGCCAATCAACTGCTCCAACACAGGACTTCATCTTGTGATCTGGGCCCTCCAAAAAAATAAAAATAAATTGTAATCTTCAGTCGTACCCGTCACCACAGGATGGCACGCAAGGCAACAAGCTGTACATGGCAACAGCACTAGCATAGCTGTGAATAATCTTTGAAATACAAAGTACTTGTAAGATATAAAGGCAGTTGCAATACAGCTGTGGCTTTAGGTGACCATCCTTTAAAAAATATTGAAGGCATCAAAACTACCATACCAATGATAACTAGTCAGGGTTTCTACATCACCACCTATGCTGCTGTTTTCCTAAGAGAACATGACGTTTTCTGGTGCTTCTTTAAATGCTTTTAGGTCTTACTGTATTTATCTGTTCCAGTTTGCTAATAACCTCGTTCCAGTCACCTCATCCCAACCCCAGTGGAGGGCTGCTCCACGTTCCCTAATCCTGGATATTCCCCAGCTGATGCACAGCATGGGCAGACATCATGCCTATGTATGTACATACCTTATATACACACGCACACCTTCAAGGGAATATACAGAAGCACTCGCTGGGTTACCTTGGGGAAGAGGAATTAAGCCAACATCAAATGCAGGGATTACCTTGATTTTCCATGGGTTGATACTGGGCTACTCCTTTCAGTCCAGGCAAGTGGCATTTTCAAGCCACACACAGCACACCCCCTTGAAATCCCACACTTCCGTGAGTAACACGGTACTGTTCCAACATCTGAAGCCATAAGCAATGTTCCTGATTTCCCATAATCATTTACTATGATCCTCAAAATAATGGAAGCCAACAAATCTAGTATTTCTATGATTAATACAACTAATGGGAGGTAGATCTACCTCCACAGAGAGGAAAAGGATTTCTCTTGATTGGAGACAGATGCACCCTGCAATTATTTTTTTTTAAAATTAATTTTTTTTCTCTCTTCACTGCAGTCTGTTCCTGCTCCTCTCTTGTTCCTGACTTGAGCCCTGGCAATTGGCCTACAAGGAGAGTGCTGTGTTGCCTCTCGTTTCACATATGCACATCGCGCTGACTAAAAGCGAGCAAGTGAGCGAAGGCAAAGCTAAGCCAAGGAACATACATTATTTAGTGAGGTCCATCTGTCCAAAGGAAGCTGCTCTTACATTTATCTGTTTTATTATCTCCCAATTAACTACGTATCATCAGTTGTTAACAGGTTTTCAATAAGATGGATGTACCCACTTCACAAATTAATAAAATTAGATAAATGGTTCCTGCAGTTGGTGGTTGTAAAGGCTCCCTCCTATTTTGTTTGGGAATGATGCTCTGTGGGTGCTCATTTTTGGCACATGCAGGTGCCTGGTACCCCTGGGTACAGGACACTGTGCAGCGGCTACTGATCAGCTCCCAAATTCCCCACTTCCTTCCAGTGCTGCTGAAAATGATATCCCATCACAGTGACCCTTCTTTCCCCCTTGTGCGTGAGTAATTTCCAGACTCAAGAGCGCCAGCTTGCTCCTCCAGACCTCATGCCACCATGACTGCTCCCTTTTAGGGAGCTCATCCCCAGGAGCCCATCACCTTCCCCGTCCTTCCCCCACGTGCCTGGGACTCCCATGAGGACCAAAGCCCCGGCTTGCTGCCCAGGCTGCAGACCTCCGTCACAGTCAGGGCCTCCTGCACATTTTGTCAAATTCTTTGCCCTCGTTTGGAGATCACTAGAAGGCGGGTGAAGGGTTGCTACACTTTGAGATTTTGCATTACTCAGGCTCTAGTTTGTGATAATTCCTCATTATTTCCACCCTAACAGAGGTATCGGGGTCCTGTGGTTCAGGGACATCACCCATATGCCCATTAAAAGCACCATTATCACCATTACCCAGACCCTCCCAATCTATAGACCCAGACAAGCTGTTCCTGGCTGCTGGCTGTGCCATGTGCTCCCCGAATGTCTTTTAACGCACAAGCATTAGAATGACCCTTCCTCCATCATAACTTCCACACGGTTCTCTAAAGCAAGTTTCTTAGTTCCTCACTCCCAGTTTGCAGAGCCCCTAGACCTGGCACGGAGGGGCTCTCCGGCAGGAGGGGGCTGTTACAAACCCTTTCTAAAGAATACAACTTGCCCTGGGTGCACACATTCTCTCCCTACACCCATGTGCTCACCAGCACCACAATGGTCATCTCCACCTCCATCATCACTGGGTGCAGCACCAAGGACCGGGGTGCCAGCGAGCAAGTCCTCCACACCTCTCTGTGATTGCCTGTGTCAGAGACAAGGAAATGCAGCCTGGACAGGCTTTTTGCTCCCTGTAGCTGTCAGCTGTTGCAGGTGGCTGTTCACCTCCACATCTTACTGTCTTCAGTTTCCTCATGTCTCCGGTTTTCCCTCCTTTGGGATATTTGAAAGCAATTTTGGGGCCTGATCTCTGCCAGGCGAGCCGGAAAGCAGTGGTGGGTGCCAGCCACTGCAGATCGGACACCACCCTCCTGCCCATCCGGCATGTCATCTGCTCCCGCTGGCCACCACCATCAGCATCGTCCTTAATCCATACAGGCCATGCTCAGCCTTGTCACCCACAGTCCCTGTCATGCTCACACATGCATACGCTTTCACTGTGCTTCGGCCAAACTGCTCCCGTTATGTGTCCCTGCCCAGGAGCTGCCTCTGCACCTCCTGGGGCTGCGTGAGCAGCACTTACTCAAAATAGCTTTTTCTCTGACAAACACGGTCCCTTGCAGGCCACTACACAGCCCCTGTCACCCTGGACCAGCACAGCTATGTCCCCACGAGGGTCCCCAACACCACTGCCACCAGATCCAGCCCTCCTCATGCTCTGTGGGGAGGAAGGGGAGGGCTCTGCCCTGGTTGGGAAGCCCCGATGACACCCGGCCTTAGACCACCTCTAGCTATTAAGCTGTTGCTAGTAACTGAACCCAGCTGTCTTTGCTAACAGCCAGGATGAATCCTACACAGGTCGCTCCTGCTTCTGAATTCCTCCCAGGCCTTGGGGCTCTCCCCTGCTGCCAGGTCACATCCTGACCCACGAGTACACGGCACTAGGAGCATGTGTCCCTGAGCTGGCACGGAACGCACTGCAGGACAGTGACCAAACCTGTCCCAGACCCACTGACATGGCCACATGCCCCAGGAACCTCATCAGCAGAGAGCAAAACATGGTGGGAATCTTCCAAAGCATCACATGCTTCTAAAACATGCCATTTCAGGCAAGAGACAAGCACTGACAAATTTTCAGTTTTATTAAAAAAAATTCTAGCAGCAAAACCTGTAACAATTCAAAAAAAAAAAAAAAAAAAAAAAAAAAAAAAAAAAAACACAAACCCCCAAAAAAAAACACAACAGAGGAAAAAAAAAAGGCTTGGGGCTTTCTCCACCATTCACTCAAGTTCCTTATAGCGGGCAAACATGACTCTCCTGACAGCGTCGCGGTAGGTCTCATTGGACTGCCTCTTGCTGGGCTTCCCTTGGGCTCCCAGGCCAGGGCCCTTCTTCCGATTTTCTGCCTGAAAACAGACACAGCTTGGGTTAGTGATTTCTCCTCTTCACTGGCTGCCCATAAAGAAAAAGCTTCCCCCAGGCTGCTTCAGGACAGCTGACTGCTCCCATGTGGATCTGGGAGAGGAGGAACAGCAAGTGCACTGTGTTCCTCCAAAAGCTGAGAGAAACTATCGGCCCTTTGTGGGCAACAAAAACACAGCCAGCAAGTGCCTGGCGAGAATCAAACCACAGGGATCGGCTGCGGAGACTAACACCAGCATACGGTGAGGTGGGAGCAGGCAGCCAAAACAGGCAGCGCCGGCAGACAAGAGGCAGCCGTGTGTGAGCGGGGATCGAAACAGAGCAAAGGAAAGTGCCAGCAAGAGAGCTGGGCTCCTGGGGAGCTGTTTGCAGTTAGCCTGCATTTGCACAGGCTCAGCTGTTCTCTCCTCTAATAGGAGAGAATAGGGTTCCCATGGGCTCCAGTAGCTCACTTTGAATTTCAACCAGTTTTTAATAACTGGCTTTTGCAGCCAGCATCTGAATTATTCAGTAATACCTGCCTAGCCTTAACCCCAGAAAGCAGGCCCAAGGCTGAAAGTTTCTCTTCGCTTTTACATCCAACTTATCTGAATATCAGCGATGTCATTAATTAGGCCAAGAGATCAAAGTCCTGTGGGGCTGAAGTGGGCACATGGCTTTGCCCAGCATGAGTTGGAAGTGGGAAGAAAGCACATCTGTAGGGCTCTTTTGGGAGGCCTTTATAGGAATTGTACGAGGGTTGTGCTTTGCAATCAGCTCCCCCATCCGGTCCAGGGAGCCCTGATCCGAGGTCAGACCTCCCAGAGCGCATCGCTGGAGCTGGCTCTTTGGCAAAGCCCATTTTATGGCCACAGAAAACTCCATGAGGGCTGAGCAACAGCTGGGGCTTGTTCCTGCTGTCTGCACTGGAGGAAGTCTTGCTTCATGTGTGTGGGCTCAAGCAAACACACGTCATGAAACCTCAAATATTTGCCTTTAACAATATACTCAACTGCAAGCTGAATGTCACAATGTGAGCTGTGCTGCAAGTTGCCTGCCCCTTGGTGAAGCACTGACACCACGGCAGGGAGGCAGCCGGGCGACAAACCCGCCATGATGAGCAACTGCAGCTGCAAGGGCACAGTGCTGCTCACGTGCCCCTGAGCAAGGAAGAGTAGTCCCTGCCCCAGATAAACACTCTCCAGCAAATTAAGGTCCACTGAGAGACCAGCCTGTCCCAGAAGACAGGATCTACCCAGTCCTGCCTATCCCTGAAGCCCTCTGCTGATGGGGACTCTGCTCCTTGTCAGACGACGTAGCCTGGCATTCCCTTCTGAAGTCCAGAGTCCAGAACGGCAGCGAGAGCCTCACAAGCAGAGTAGGCAAATAGTATCACATGCCCTGTGGCTTTGGCTATGCTCACACCTCCCCGGAGGAGGTTCACCTTTTCCTCCAGCTCACGTGGCTGCAGAGCACTGAGCTGGTGACCTGCTCAAACCCCAGCCTGGCTTTGGGCAGGTATTAATCAGATGCTCACGCCCTCCCTGCTCACTGTTACTCTATTCTCAACTCCTCCAGATGCATATAAATCCTAACCTTTTTCCACCAACAACATACTTGCAGCCCCTCCCAGCCTGCAAAGTTAATTAGCGCACACATACTATTCCATCAAGCAGGCACTGAGACTTGCAGCCTGACTCTTGTTCCGGCTGGGAACTCCCTCCAGTTGTCTTGGGTGACATTACTGGCTCCAGGACAGCGATGTGTTTTGAAGGGAAGGGAAGGGAAGACTCACCTCCACTGGTGATGTTGTGCCCTGCTGGTTGTGGCCGAAGCCTTTCTTCCACCCCGTGGACTGCAACATTCGGTTCCCTTTGTTGTTAGTATCAATCCTTGGGTCATAGTCACTGCAAAAGAGGCAGAATCAATTGCGTTTTGCAATGCTTCAAACACATGCCAGGGATTTTTAGCTCTGCTAACAGCACCTTCATTGACATTCCAACTTCTCCTGAGGGATACCCAAGTTGCTGGCAAGAAACACACCACCCAAGGAAACCAACACAGTGGATTCTGTGTGCAGGGCTCAGACACCTTTGCTTATCTCCTTGTCCCACCTCAGGGGAAAATACTCCAGGGCACAGGAAATGAGCTCAGGCTCCAAAATATTTATGGTACAAGCAAGCCAGGAGTGTTCTGTGCTTGTATTTCTCAATCTGAATTTCAGCAATAGCTAGAAAGTGAAGTCTAATCCCTGCTGCTCTGTTAGATCTTTCTTTTCTCCCAGTGCTGTGGTCATTGAGCTCAATAGATGCACTGTTGATTCGGACACCCTTTCTCCCACCTGGTCATTACTCATCCAACATCATTAACCAAACCCCATAGTTTTGAAAACCACTCAGCACAAAAATAGCTCCTTCAGGCAAGTTCTACTTTCTGGCTGCTGATGACATTGCACACAAACTGCTTTAGTTTACCCACAGCTATTCCAAGAAAACGGAGGGAAGAGAAGATGCGGATTTTTAAACTGCAAGACACAGAGGAAAGGTCTCCTTCTGAGGTGCTCTACCAGAAGGGAACAGGCACATAACTAGTTTTGTCTTCAACACATGCCTAGCAGTTCCTCAGCCCACTGGAACACGCGAGCTTGCAGCAGGCAGGCCTTTCGAGAGCTCCGCACAGCACACACTTTCTTCCTCCACCTACTCTGAATGAGATGGAAACAGCTCCTACTGTTCCTCTGAGTCAGTGGAACAGATGAAAAACAGCTTTGCTCTTTCTTTCAATGGCTAGATTCCAGGACAGGAGGACAGCAAGTGCCTTAAGGATGAGGTGGATGTAAACAGGCTGCATTCTGCTCCCTGTGCCTGGCCAGGCACACTGAAACCCCCCATCTCAACCATCCAGCTTGCCTCTGCTTTCCCCTAAACCCTCATTTCCACCCCTGCACTACACACCCCTGGCCCTCTCCTGCCCTCTCTGAGAAGTCCTGCAGCACAACAGGCTCACATTTTGGGGAACTCTACCCACAAGAATCACAGCCCATCTGGCTGTTACTCTTGCAGATCTACCCCAATGGCCAATTCCTGGCCTTGGCGTGCCAGCAGCACACATACCTTCCCAGCATCAGCAGCCCCAAAGAGATCTAACCAAGAGCAGCCATTACCTCTCTGAGTCCCGGTCGTATCTGAGTCGTTTCCTCTCTGGTGAATCCATCTGCTGGAATTTCTCTCTCCGGTCATTTCCTTTGTCTTTGTATCTCCCCTTCATAACAGAAATAACAAAGTAAGTATGGGAGCTACGAAGTATTTAACAGTCCACAGGAGACTGTTTTGCAGCCAGGTCTCATCTCATCCTCAGCTGGCTGGAAATCTGTCCTGGGGACCCACAAAGCCTGGATGTTTCTAGGACCCACAATCCACTTATTCTGTCTGTCCTGATGGCACCTGTTAGGATGACCCAGACCTGTGGTTGCAGCCTTCCAGCTATGGCACCGGGAGCAGCTCTGCTACCTTCCAAACAACAGATAGTTACAGCTCTCCCATTCCTGGCCAGGCAGCAGCAGCCCATACACTGCATCAACTTTCAATGGAAATCTGGGTCCCACTTAGCCCCAAACCCAATATTGGCTTGCAGGGCCACAGAAACACACTCAGAACCTTCCGGGAGGAGGGAGACTTGCTCTTAGAAGTCACAGCACTATCTACAGGTCCAAATACAGAGTGTGCCCACAGTTCAGTCTGACTCTTTGGGAAGCGTTTGATGTCCAGTTTGCAGATACAGGTGCATATAAGTGGAGGGTCTGCCTGGGACCAACATCCCCCTAGTGCAGGACCACAAACAGAAGTCTGCCCACCACTGCAGACCCACCTCACGCTCTCTCTTCTCCAAATATGCCAGTTCTTGCTCAGATCGTTTGATCTTCATATGTATCTCCAGGTTTTGCTGGAAGGAGGAAAACAGAAGCCAGTGTCAGCAGAGGATACAAGTTGTCAGGGTCATTTGCTCTACCTGTAGGGAGTACAGGTAAAGCAGCATGCTCTTGCATCTGCACTGTACCAGATGCAACAGCTTCTCTTGCAGCCCAGACGACCTGCTTGCCCACAGAGGCCAGAAGCCCTTCCTCTCCACAGTAAGGAAGGCAACCAGTCCTATTTTAACCTGTGTGCAGTTTGGCCCTCTTAGAAGCAAGAGCTCAAAGGCAGCGCAGAACATGGGGAGGCATGTGCTAAGTTCTTACTGCTATCACACTCATGTGTGCCAGCACCCCACTCTCCCCAAGCCTGAGCTATCTCACTATAGCTTAAAAAGTCACACCTTGATGTTATAGCACTCCCGTGGCAGGAACAAGCAGCTCACACAATGCTTTGAACAGAGCTTTGACGGGAACTTTGCCTGCTACTGTGTCAAACTCAGCAGAGCTCTTCCCACCCAACTGTCGCATTTTTCCCGGCAGACCACAAAGCTGTTGAGCCAAAGGCAGCTTGCAGCACACACGCAGCCCTCCAGCCACCAGCTCCCCTGTACCTTGTGCAGGTTGGAAAGCTGCTGGTGCTTGATGAGCACTTCCTTGTTGGGAAACTGCCTCCTGCACAACAAGCAGGCCAGCTTGTTCCAGTCGGTCAGCTTGTCGTCGCTGAGCTTGGCCTTCCTTGGCTGCTCCTCGCGTTGTGCTGGTGGGTGGGGAGCTGGCAGCCACTGTGCCTGTGACTGCTCCTCCTCTTCCTCCTCCTCTTCATTGTCACTGTCTCCTCCATACTCTCCCAGAAGTCCTATCAGAGGGTTCACCACCTTGGGCTGAGGGAAGAGGCAGGAAAGCGTGACAATTTCTAGCATCAAGCCTGCCCTGCCACGCGGGGCTCTGCTTCCCCAGCCAATCTCTCCACGACTTCTGTCTCCGTTCCAGCCCAAGAGCAAGAGAGCAGCATCCCAGCAGCACAGGCAGGGAATGGAAAGAAGCTGGCTGGCCAGCATTTAAACACCACAGGGTAGAAGCCCTTCTGTTCTCTAGACAGGCTGTGCTTTGGTGCCAGGCTTTCCCAATCTGCCACACACCTAAGCACAAGAAGCTGACCGAAGAAGTAGCTATTTGGCAGGGAATTGTTGTCAGTCACTTCCTCTAGCAATGGAGGTCAGTGAGGTTTGGCCTTCCTCAGTCTGGAGGCAGCTGAAAGAGTTTTCTGCCTGAGGACTGCTTGAGTGAGGAGACCCTGCTTAAATGCAAGTATTAAATTTCCCCATGCTAGAAGCCCACAAACAAGCTCAGAGTTATAAAACAAACTGCCTTCGCCATTCCATCTCCAACGTTCCCTCATCTGGCATGAGAAGCTGGCACCTCTGCCATCCAAGGTCACAACCAGGCTCTGGTGAGCCTCCCTAGTCCTCTACCTAGGCTCAAACAAGGCAAAAACCAATCCTATGGAGACACTTACCGGGGCTGCACTCTCGTCCTTTTTCACAGAAGGAGGTAATGGTTTTTTAAAGACATCTTCTGCAGAGAACTTCTCCTCCCCAGTCTCATTCTGAAATAGTCAAGGCCAGGTGTTAAGACTACCATAGCATGGACTCAGTGCACGCAATGGCTAAGCACCCATTTAAACAGGCCTCCAAGGAAAGCAGGCAGTTGGCAGAAATGAGGTGGTGTTTTTGGTGGAAGACATTCCCATTCTGGTTCCCATTCCCCTTGGTTTCAGGGACAGCTGCAGCAGCTCCCCATGCTGTCCCAGCCTGCTCCACTCTCACTCTCTGCTGGACTGTGACACTGACGGTGGCCCCAGCCATGTCTCAGACCAGTGATGGAGCTGGGACAGGGCCAGGTCACATTCAGATACCTCTGTGTGTGCACAGAGGACATTGAGACCAGGTGCGAAGCCACCCCCATAGCCAGCCAGCATGGGAGCAGAGAAACCCACCGCTCCATGAAGAGTTACAGTCCTGCTTGCCTTTGAGAGATGAGACAAAGCACAAGTACTATTCATGGGGAGGGGAAAGGACAACAACATGGCCAGGCTCAACCAGCTTGGTGGTGTTTCCAGGATCTTCCTTATACTGGACAGAGAACACCAGAGACTGCAGTCACCCAGCACTACAACAGGATGAGACTGTGATGCTCACTTGTATGCTCAGCAGCACAAAGAGTAGGCTGGGGTGAAGCTTCACGTCTACATGTTTTACAGAAAACTGGTATGAAGCCCTAGACGTGCTCTAGTTTAGTGGTTCATTAGCTACACATGCTTGACTGGTGAAAGACAAGTGCTATGCAACATCTTACCAGGCCTGCACTCTCATCCTTTTTCACAGAGGGAGGCAATGGCTTTTTGAAGACGTCTTCTGCAAAGAACCTCTCCTCTCCAGGCTCATTCTGAAAAACCCAAGATTGGGCATTAGGCCATCAGCAGCACAGGGGTCCAAGAGTGCACACAGCAGCCAGGAAGCCACTTCTGAGCATCCATGGAAACCAGGCAGCCAGGAAAAATGACAGCAGTATTTCTACTGGAGATGCTTTCACCCTCCATTCAGACAACACTATGTTTCTCCTAGGTCAGTGCCCTTGAAAGCAAGAATCCTCCATACCAGATGAGACTCCTTGGCTGGCTTGATATCAACATCAGGGACAATTACACCCCTCGGGTCCCAGCTGCCCAGAACTGGTCATGCCACAGAGCATATCCAGACCAATAGGCAAGGAGGAAAACAAAGTTTCTGCATTCGTGGCTCAATAACTTCTGCCAACTCTCTTGGCATTCCTTGGGCCCAGTCAGTATCACAGCACTGTTGTGGAAGATCCTGCTCCAAGCACCCATGCTCAAACATAACTTTGGGCAACTGCTCCCAAACAGCAGCTCCCCACGTTTGGGGAGACAGCGTTTACTCACTGGGAGCAGCACTGAAGGGTACTGCCCCAGGACTGGAGCTGGACTCTGGGAGGGACTGTACAGGATGTCCGTCACAGACTCCTATCTGCATTCGATCTCAGTCCACCTTCACAGTCCATCTGCACTGTTTGCCTCATCTTCCTGCCTGTCTTTGATGTTTGGAGAGGGCAGGAATTGCGGTTAGGGGAGAGCTGAATCTCTGTTATTATCTGACTTGGTATGTTTAAACATCTCTGCTATTTTTCTGTTGGCTCTGTTACAATAGCTGAGTGCTTTCAGCAGTGTGAATGAAATGTGTGTCTCAGTTACCTAGATGTTTCTGAATCCTTTACCATAAAGAAGGGATGAGAAGCCCTGACTTAATGTCACAAGAGAAAAACTTCAGGAACTTACCCCCACCTGGCCAGACAGCAACCACATTCCTGGACTGTTGGTGACCCCATGTATTTCATCATTTTCTCTCACTGTCCCTCCCTTTTTGAATCCTCTATAAATTACTCTCTATTTTCTAACCTCTCTTACCTCAGCCTCCTGGCCTCAGATCTCTGATCGTTCTGACACCTGGAGGGATTTACCTTAGCAGAAGTATTTTTCCCTTTCTCCTTTTTGTCCCTATTGTCCCTGCTGTGCGGTTCCTTCCTTTCATTTGTCCGTTCTTGGCTTCCATGCCGCCGCCTTCTGCTCTCTGTAGGTGATGAGCAGGCTTCTCGGTCTATCGTGACTTCTCTCTGAAAGAGGCATTTGGAACAGACTTAGCCAAACCCCTGCAATCTTCTTATTGGGCTTATTGTCCTTATTGGGCTGGGGAGACCAGCACAGTAAAAAGGGACTGCAGAGCCTCAGACAGCTGAGGGCAAAGGCTTCAGAACTTTGCTGGGGCAGAAGACAGTCTACCACAGCCAGGTCATCAGAGCACTCCCATGCTCACCCACAACACAGGCATCTCCAGTATCATGAAAACAAGATAGTCCTAGAGGACCTCTGCTGATGGCTCTTTTTTGTCATTCTTGTAACTATTGCTGGCTGGGGTCAAGGAGCAAAGAGACCACAGATGAAAACAGAGCTCTGCTGTCCATCTTTTAATACAGAGAGTCACATACCACATGTCTTCAGTAAAATCTAGCAAGAATGCCCTGCTCATATGTCCACTCAATGAAGAGAAGACCAAAAACCCTCCAAAGACAGGGCTTCAGAGGCCAAAGAGGCAGCTACAGTAACTGGTTCAACACACAGCTAGTGGGTTCCTAGCCTCTCATTAAGCTGATGTTTTGGAACATGCATCCCTTTTATACATGTCAGAGGACTGAGTAAGAGAAACAAAGCCGCCTCTGTGCTGTCCCATGCTAGGATGTCTTCAGGATCTAGCTGCAAAATCTCTCCAGAGAAGGGCAGTTTGTAAGAATGTACTATGTGTAAAAGCTTCCTTCCCACGCACTCACCTGAGTCCTGGGGTCATAGTATGTCCCAGCTATGGGATCGTAGTAATTCCCAGTTTCAGGATCATAAATGTATGTGGACACATCTGATGGAGCTGAACAGAAAGACAAGAGTTAACACCACAACCTTCCAAAGGCAGAACTTGCCTTTTACAAAGACAAAAGCATGAGCAAATATTACACTGGTGAAAGGATCAAGAGTGGGAAAGAAGAATTTTTCTCTCCTGGCAAGAGAGGTATGAGTATCCTCACATCACTTGACCTACATCTTCTTTTCTTTATGGAGTAAGGAGGGAGATAGGTTTTCACAATTCTTCTAGTTTAGGACTCTGGCAAAACTCCCACATCAAAACACACTTACAGGAGCTGTGCTGAGATCATCAAACCACAACACTTGACCGGACAAAGATATGAAATTCAGTAATTTCCCTAAGAATGGGGTAATGAGTACCAGGCTCTGTGTCCACCCACCCCTGTGAACAAGGAAGATCTGTGCTCTTTCAAACAGTCTCCTGTTTAAAGTGATGACGCTCCCCACATCCCTTCTGCCTCGTGGGTGCATGAAAGCTCCCAACAAGAAAGGGGAGCAAACTGTTTCTACAGGAAAAGCCGAAGGCCTTAAGGATAGGCCCATAATGTGAGGAACGTTTCTCATTTCTAAAGTGTTATTAGACAGAGCTCAGTGATACTACATGTAAGTTAGTAAAACAATCGGGATTGTTCTTCCAGCTACTGGCACTGCTGCATAAAGTGTATCTTCTTCCATCTCATCTAGTAATTGCCAGGTTGATTTTACCCCATCAGTTTACGACAACAAGGAAAAGCACGCAGTAAGTTTCCTTTATCTGCATGTAGTTTTGCACAGTAAGAGTAGAGAGAAACACATCATCAGATAGGAAAATGTGACTAAACAAACTTGGCAAAGGAACTCAGAAGTGGGTGTAGCAAACAAACCTACTCTTAGCCTTTAAAAGTATTTTTGGGCTGATTTCTACATGTCAGTGCCCTTTTAAGGAAGAAAAGTGTCCACAGTAGGAGTGAGGCAGAGCTTAACTTACACTGTGCTCTGGTGCGTCTCTGTGATTCGCCACCCCTCCTGTCTCTCATGCCCCTTCTGCCCTGGAGTAAGTGAACAACACAAACATTTCAGAGACTCCTTGACAAACATCATATTGCTTCTCCTCCCTCTCACAGGCCCAAAGTTCAGAAAAACAGCTCATTTAGCTACCCTAAATAGAGCACAAACAGACACAGCTCTTCATCTACAGAGTAATGGACAGTGTCGCAAAGCACAAGACCTCTGTAGCTTCCATGAATCTTTAAACGAGGTGCTCATGGCAATCTGTGTTGAAGACCCCAGCCCATTCAGTATGGGAAGATCCCTGTAGTCTAGTAACAAGCACTAGAGAAGAGACATTCACTCCAGGAACTGAGATCAGTCATCAGTTAAGTCACTCTGTAAAAGCGTGGTATAGAGTAATCTAGCCCAGAACTCCCTCAAGCAGCACCTGCACTCTGACTTGCACTTCTATGCACATTATAAACAGTGTTAGGGGCACAGCAGCAGTGAAAAGATCACTTGAGCATTATCATCCCGTCTTCAAACATGTTGAACTTTCAGCAGCCCAAAGGGAAAAAGTCAAAGTCAGGCCTATCACCCCTGATGCTCCCTCCCTTTCCAGCTACCTGCAGGGAAGCTGTGCAGACCTACCGGCCCATAGTAGGAATTGTCACCGTGCTCCCCATAGTCATTCCTGTTGAGATAAAGATTACAAGTTAATGTCAATCTGGCTTCACATTAACCTCAGTATACTCAAAATGATCATCAGGACCAATAAAGGCAGAAAGACCATCTTCGCTGGCCACATGTTGGACTGTGTCCATCCCAGGAGACAGAGAGACTTTGCAGATCACTGCCTCCATAAGAGTTATGACCACACTCTCTGCTGTGTCCACAAAGATGAATCTCTCCAACTGCTTTTTAAAAAGCTGAACCCATTAATTCCCTCACAATGGGATTTGATGGCTGGACAACAACAAGAGGCCATGCAATATGACGATTAATCCCATACTGCTCAATCACTGAAGCTTCTTCTAGCTCCAACATATTTTTAGGTTGTAGAAACATCTGTGCTAATTCATGTGCCAACCTTTAAGCACCTGATCTGACAACACAGGTCTAGCTTCGCAGCACATCACACAAAGGACAACGCTACTGCCTCATCTGTCTATACCTCCTCCTCCCTGTAGCAAGATTCACTTCCACCGTACGTCCATCAATGCAGATAGGGGGATCCAGATTCTGTAGTATCTTTAGCAACCTCAGTGCCTCCTGTAAAAGCAAAGGAGAATTTCACATCCATGAGAAGGAAACACAAGCCCATTTCCCAGATCCAGCCTGCCTGGAAGGAAGGCTTTAAATATTAGTGAAAGGTATTTAGGATGTGACAAAAAGGATAAATGCACTGTTAGATTCTCTTTTTGTCCTATGACTTTCCAGCAGCCAGCTAGGGACTATATTCTCCTAGCGCTGCTAGACAATGGCTGCTGCTGGCCCAAAGAGTTCTGGTGAACACCCTCTGAACCAATGTCAAAGCACAGCTATGGAGCCTGGGAGTCACCCAGAACCAGAAAATGTGAACCCTCCAATGTGGGACTGTCTGTTAATTAAGATTCCTGCCTTCTGCAGACAGAAACCATTGAATTCAAGTTCCCTGCAAACGGAGTATCTGTGCAAGAGGTGTTCAAGTTTAGGAGGGTCTACAAAGTAATGTATTGAGTCAAGAAACTCATTCAGCATCACAGCTTGTGACAACAGACAATCTTTGGCTCCTAAAGCCGGAGAGCAACAGCTGTATCAGATATTTCCTGTACCTAGCCAGACAAGCAGAAGAGAGGACTAACTCCAGGACAGCTGCCTCACAAGTACAGCTATTTCTTATATTCCTGTGGTTTCTCTACTTCTACAGACTACAGATGCCAACAGGGGGAGCATGTGAAAGCAGAAAACTACTTACAGCATGTGAATCCAGTTCAATGAAGCCATAGGTCTGCCCCATCCGGCCAGCCTTGTTCTTCATGATGCGCACGCTGGATGTGGATAGTCGCACATATGGGGCCAGGAGCCCCACAATCACTTCTGGTGGTGTGAATCGAGTAATACGCTTCAGCATAATTGCTGTGAAGCACAATGAGGGATGTGTCCAGGAAAGAAAAAGTTGTAAAAAAAGACAATTCAGATCTAAGTTTATTGTGACAGCAAGGTAAAACTAAACCCACTCAAAGCAACACCATGGCTTCTTGCAGTTGAGTCTGGAAACCATTGCTTTTTTTCTCTCCACTTTGCAACATGCTTAGAGTACTGCCTCTAACTGCTAACCTTTCTTTCCGAGAAAACAGAGCAGAAAATAGGCCCCTCCTCAGAGGAGCTCAGCCCAGGGTAACTTCTGGCCAAGGACACTTTTGCTGCTGTGCTAAGTTAACTGTAACATCCTGAAGCCAGCTTGCCCTGAGTTAATTTTCCTAAAGGCAATTCACCAGCACCTTTGGAGCTTGACAGCCCACCATTACTTGATGCCATGATTTGCACAACATGGAAACAGCCTCCAGAGGCTTTAGCAAAATGCTGCCCTTTCAGCAGATGACCTCACAGAGTACAAACAAGAAGAATCCAAAATTGAGCCCTGTGCCACTCACTTCTGCTTCCTCCACCATCCTGTGGTGTGGCTTCCTCTGCTTCTCTCTGAGAAGGCAGCTCCTGGTGCCGGTCCATGTCCCTTCTCTTCTCCTGTGAGGGCCGCCGCTCCCTCCCTTCATCTCTCTTCCTTGGCTCCTGTTCCTGAGGCTGGCACTCCTGCTGCGGAGCAGGAACTGAAGGCTGGAGAGGCTGCTTTGGAGATCCTGGTTGTCCTGATAACTCTTGCTCAGGTTTTTCAAGCTTTGTCTCTGCTATTAGGGAGGAGAAATTGACTGGTTCCACATACAGTGTTTCAGCATGTATTTTTCTTCTGTTTTCTGGCCACTGCAGCAGCACCCCTTATAAAAGGCTAACCTGTTCTGCCTTTTGCATATTCCATGTCTTAACACTCTGCAGACACAAGTTGCGTAAAGAACAAGCTAAATACTGCCCATCCTGTCATTGCATTGTTTCATGTTGGATTCCTTTGCCTGACCTCCTGTCAGAGACGAGCCTTTCTGGCCTCCTTTTAGGATTGGCTCTTGCCTAGGCAAATGTTAATCAGGGATGGTTTGGGATATGTTCCAGCCACATCCAGGACAATCTACATGGCAGTGATATCCTTACTATGCCTGATGTATTCTTGAACACCCATAGCTGAGCAATATCAACTAGTAACTGTCACCTTATCTCTACGCTAGAGGAAAACTGGGTGCAGACCCCTATGATCACTACGTGAAATGCATCATAGTACAATCACTCAGATGAGGCAGATATTATGTGGAAACACCCTGCCCCCCAGCCTACCTATGCAATACAGAGAAGATAAATCCCATCAAGTTTCTGTGCTTGAAGACCTCTGAGGCATCTGGCTTCACTTCAAAAGAGATCCCCACCTGAGCTTCTAAAGCTGTTGGAAATGGAAGCTAAAGCTGTGGGGCTGCAAAGTCAGACATCACCAGCCCTGTAACTGCTGCTGAAGCCTCTTCCCACAAAGAGAAAGAAATCAGAGTGCAAGACTTGGCACAGTGAAGCTTCACTCTTTAACGTTACCCAGAGCACCTCCCCACTCTTGTTCTGTTTGGGCAGTGGGCAGCATGGCAGAACACACGACCGTTTTGCATGTAAATGTTGGGAAAGCTGCACACTGACTTGCTTGGCTGTCAGCACAGCTCATGTTGGACAGGTTCGTACTAATTTGTCTGCAGTTTGCAGCGTGCAGAGTTTTGGCTACACTTCATGAGCAGAACCTCATGTAAAATTTGCATATGAAACCAGTCTGCACGTGGAGATGTGAAAACTGCCCATGCAAATCACACAGACATGAGCATGACCCCAGAGATGGGGAGAGCAATTATCTTACTGAATTCTTGCTCAGCTGATGCATCCTCTCCCTCGGAACCACCTCTGGACTCTGGACCTGCTCTGCTCCCTGTAAGAGAGGCATATTAAAATCCGTTTCAAGACCATCAGTCACAAAGCATGCAAGAACTCATGCAAAGCTGCAGTAACACCTGTGTATACCTAGAGAGTTGTTTTGTTTCACCTGGCAATTAAAGGACAGTCACAGAGAGGTTATCTTATTACACATGTTCTCACAATCAACAAAACCAGGTCAGGAAGAAGCATGCACCACAATCTGTCTTCACAGCATCTTAAAGGCTCCATTTAATTTGCTCCTCAGCAGTTTTATTACATCCCACAGTTGTGCTGGGCCAGCTATGCGAATTTTGCCTTCATAATGCTGATGGAGGAGCCACAGTGCAAGGAAAGCACAACCATGGGAACAGTGCTTCAGTAAATAAAGTTCTGCATCAGCAATTATTTTAATGCCTTTCTGCCTGGGATATGTGGGTAAAAAACGCAAAACATCAGAAGTCTGCTCAAAGATACAGAGTCAAAGCTTACAGAGTGCTTGGAATACCTGCTCGCCCCAAAGAAATCAGCTCCTCAAGGCAGCATGTTTTGGCGCTTACACTCTCCCACCCAAAAAACCAAACGTGTTGGTGGGGTGAGGAGAAGCTCCTGGAGAACTCCTCTCCATGCACTTCTTACAGTCAGCAAGGCGAGTTCAGCAGTTCAAGTCCTGGATTCACCTCTAATCTGAGAGCCTCAAAAGAGTAACACTAAAAACATGCAGCTGAATCTCCCAAGGAAGGTGGATTGAAGGGAAGCCATCTCACCTACGGCCAGCAGTACTAGCTCACAGTCCTAGAGGACACACAACCTGTAATTCTGTGGATGAAGGACAATGCCAAAGCAATAGGAAGGGAAGGCCTTGTGCAGTAAGACACCTCTCCACCAAGACTCACAGCAACAGAGAACCTGGTAGCAACACATCTGCATGCAACATCTTTAGTGTGGACAGGGAAAAGGGTCTAAATGAAGCACAATTAATAATTCTCCTACACAGTACTCAGCTAGTCCACCAAGAGGGATGCCACAGGGAAGCCAGAAGAGAAACTTACTTGTCAGGGCAGACGAAACTTTTAACCGACCAAACACAGAGGCACCAGATATACTTACCATCTCTTGGGAGCTTGCAATAGGAGCAGGAAGATCTGTAGCCCACAGTACACACCTTACACTGCAATGGAAGATGGACAGCATGAGGAAGTCATGTTTTGAAGGTAGTGGGTACAACCTACTCCAGAAGGCCAAATTCTGCTGTGCTTTCAGAAAGTAAGTAACAGCCATGGAAAAGTTACAGTGACAGCTTGAGAGACAGAATGGGTAATGGCAGCAGAAGCCTTCGCTGGAATAGAAGGGAAATGCTCACATGGCTCACAAATGGGATTGCCGTGGGAACAGGATTTTCATACGACTTCCAAGCACAGATTTGTTCACACCATGGAGGTACTTCACTAGTCCTTGAGATAGGACCCCTCCCCCTCTCAAGCGATGCTGGACCAAAAAGTTTCATGCTAGGCACCACACTCCTAGCCACCCTGTTGTTTCAAAGGATCCAAAGTTACTTTTCTATTCTCTAATCTTAACTCACTCCTAAAGCAGTGACAAAGTCCTTATCTGAGCTACACTGTAGATACTGATGTAATCTGCTGCACAAGGAGAGTCAGAGAAGAGGTGTCTGCTAACAAAGAGGTAGAGCTATACAGGCTCAGATGGTTATCCCACCCAGAGCCACCGTGGAAAGAGCCAAGTGCCCTGTCTTCACAGCTCTCTCCAAACACAGCATTTCTAACTTCCTCTTCAAGCTCTTTGTAAATGCATTGCTTCTTTTTCACACATTTTTTTTTTCTCTCTAACTAAAGCCCTGAAAATGCTCTAGCACACGAGAAAGCTCTTTCAGGCCATGCTTGAGCACAGCAAAAGTGGGGGCATACGCTCCAGCTAATTCTCATTGCACTGAAAACTGTTGTGAAACCACTGTCTGAAACTGCTGTCTCTACTTTATCTCTGGAGCGTTGCAAGCATAGATGAGGCACCGAACAATGGCTCTGTGGGAACTGGCATGCATTCAATTAGCCTGGATGAGGGTCTTTGTAGCCCACTGTGATCCAGAGGTCAAGGTGAGAGTCTAACCAGAACCGATCCCTTCCCACCCTGCTGCAACCTCTTGGTCTCCAGTCAGTGGGAATGCAGGCAACAACCCTGCCCTTTGTTCTAGCACTCCTCCACAGCCTACTGCGGATGAAAGCACCTGTTCTGGCAGAACTGTGGAAAGGCCATGGGAACAAAACTGACCCTCAGGCAACTGTGCCTCCCCAGAAATGGGCCAGTTCCAGTCTGTTACTAACTGCTGCCTGGACTTGGACTCATTTCTATGCTTCCTTCCCTGCTGCAGTTACTGCACTCAAATCTAGATCACAGGTTCCTGTGTGAGACAGAGGGGTGGTTTGCATTGTTACGCTGGTGAAAGCTCTGGCTACCTGGGCAGTGAAGACACTTGCAGCTACACACATGAACCAGGGTGAAAGCCTGTTCCAGTCCGGTTGGCAGAATCACTGTCTCATTTTGGTTTTTAAGGAGAAAGGATCCACACACTATTTTCCCCACGTTAAAAGGGAACCACTGCATAGGGACAAAACTGCTCTGTGCATAAACCACTGGCTACCTGTACCAAAGCAACATGCACTCATAGGTGGTACCAAGAACAAGGTAGGGAAAACTGCAGTTTAGAAGAGGCAAGAGCTTCAGGACCTCTTAAGGATCCTCAGCCACTGAGCAAGTATCTCTCTGCTGCCACTGCCATGAGAACCAGCAGGGGAAGCACAACACAGCTCTCTGATCGCATACTTACACGTTTGCAGCGCCAAAACTCTGGGCACGGAGTGTACTCAAGGGTCACTTCTTTGCCACCAATCGAAAGAGTTCCCTGTTGAGACAAGGGGGTAAATGACGAATGTGCCCAGCACACACAGATTACTCAGAGGCAAAGAAAGGAGTTAAAGCTCTGGTTCCTAAAGGTTTCGCAAGTGAAACAGGGTGAAAGGGGGAGAAAGTCTCCCAGTTCAGTTAGCTGGAGCTTTGCCATGGAAGTGGAAGGGAAACTGCCTGTGCTCTACTCTAGCACAGGGCTGCAAAGCTGCATGTTAGCTCCAGAGCAACTAGGCAGAGAGGCTTTGCCACCTCCTAGGAAGAGTAGAGACAGAGTAATGAGAGCACGAGAGGGAAACTGCTTTAACTTGCTTTGTCCACATGCTGGAAAGGGGCAGCTGGACAGCCTCCTTCACACCAGCCATGACCAGGCTGGCCAGAAGACAGCTATTTGAGGAGGAATACAAGGAAAAATGCCACTGAGGTGAGAGAATTTTCATACTTGGGTCAGCCTTCATGTCACTCATGAAACCCTGACTTTCCTTCAGGGAAGTATGCCAGCATGTAGCAAGGCCACTGGCTCTGCAGCCCATCCTTGGTGGGGCTGTCCTCAAGCACCTGTGCAGCAGCAACAACACTGCCTACAAAGACACACTGCTTTCAGCTCCACATATCACACTTTGGAGAGATGTCAGGAGCCCAACAAATCCACAAGCTTTGCTGAAATGCACATGATTTAAGGGTGAAATGAAGTCATAGGTGCAAGTCTCCCAGGTCCTGCCTGGAGCAGCCCATAAAAGCAGTGAGCAGCAAGGATTCCTGGTGGCTCTCATCTGCCATGGACAACAGATCATGCCTGGGCATGCAGAATGCAGGCTGAGCCGCAAATGCACGGAGCCATGAGATGTCTCATGTCACTGGAGGCACTGGCAGTCCAGGCAGTCTGTATTTCCCAATACCACAATATAAGACTCGGTGACAGTAACGAGACTCAGACTCAGGTCTCCCAAGTCCCAGGAGAGCAGTCACTCTTCTGGCCCGTTGCTGGATGGTACAGACAGATGTCAGGGAGCTGTAAATGGCCCCAGGCTATTTTGGGGACCTCTGCTGAGTCAGAAGTTTCCCAGGTACTCTGACCCAGTAGCCTAGTCATGCAAGAGCCCCCAGAGCAAACCATGGACATGAGAAAACAAGTTCCCAGAGTTATTATTCAGAAGTCACGATACACCCATGCATAAGTTGCTGTGCAGAATGTGAAGGAGATGCTAGGGAATATGTAAAGCAGCAGGGAAGAGTTCATGGGAGGGAATCACTCAGCAACAGTACAACAACAATCCTTTAACCCCTACGAAAAAACACAGCAGAGAAAGTTGGAGACCAAAGACACTGCCCTGTAAGGTCAGGTTCCACCACCTCCCCTCTTGGCAGCCTGCCTTTCATGGACCAAGGCTCTCCTTTCCTACCAGGCCTATATGTGTTGAACACTTCAGGGGTTTCCTTTCTGCCACCCAGCTGTTCAAGCACTACTTTCCAGCATGGACTTCCCATTGCTTTACAGAAAGCCGAGCCGTTCCTAGACCTTGCTGAGGGCTGGCGTGTGTACCCAGAGCACAGCGCTGCAACTTCAGATGCAGAGAATCTCCCCCAGGTCTCTTCACAGCACAGAGTATTGCCTACTTTACATGTCTAGGAGAAGGTCTGCACCTTCTTTAAGGCATGTGAGGAAACACAAGTGAGAAGTGGAAATCAAGGCTGGCCCACTAGGACTGTCGGTCCCTCTGAGACGGACGTGCTCCCTCTTCCAAGCAGGGCACCCATCACATCACACCACACGCTCAAGAGACGGGCAGTGCCAGGAGAGCGGGCTAGAAACACCTGCATCTGCCTCAGGACCCACTGAGCACAGGCAGGGAGGGAAGGCAGGGTGCACATCCTCACAAGCAGAGCTGTGGCCACTCCACAAGCCCAGGAAAGTCCTCGGAAACAGCAGCTCCTCAGCAGGCAGTGGCAGCCCTGCCTATGAGCTCAGGAAACAAGGACAACTAGATTTGAGGATACTTCCTCTGGTAGGGCAATCCATTATACAGCTTCATCCTTCTACCAGCCACTGAGGATAAAACTTGCCAGAAAGCCTTAAGATTATTTTTGGTTTCATGGAAAATGGTTTTGAAGTGCATATGGTGCTGGTCTCTACCGCAAATTCAGTTCTCAGAGACTGCAGAAAGTGTCACTTGCATAATTACTCCTTAATTTCCTTAACACCCTGCTGATTGCCTGCTTACTTTTTCAACAAGCTCTCTCTTACTGATTTCTTCTTGATAAAGTAATTTTCAAGGTTGCAATCACCATTTAACACACCAAAATGAGTCCTTCATTTAGGACACACATTGTCAGGATTCACTGACTTTAAATTCCTCATTCCCCCATTTTGTTACTAGATTCCATCCCAAATATGTTCAGAACCTTTATTTCTTCTAGTCCCTGTCACTGCTTATTCTTTTTCATCTATATCTTCTTCCTTCTCTCTGCAAAATGTTTTGGATAATACTCCAATTTTCAGTTCACCACTTTCGATAGAGCAGATCTTTGTGAAATCACAAAGATTTTCTGAGAATTTCAGGGAACAGTGCTGGGGGGAAAAAAAAAAAAAAAGTAAGTCCAAGGTATGCCACGTATACTGTTTGGTACCCAGACTGTAACAATCTCTTCCATATCCATGCATTTCATCCTGGACCTCTCTGACCAACTCACCTGCACTATGCCCGTTAATTCTCTCTGTGGATTTTCAATATCCTGTACTTTTGAGCAGCTTGGCCTTTTCTTTCTAAATCAGTATGCTATAGAAATGTCTCTCTGGTCCTCCCAGTCAGGAACCTCCCCCTCAAAACTAGCAGTAAACACTTAGTTGACTCACCAGTGAAGGGTTTAAAAGGCAGCACAGCTCTGCAGTACTAGAACACTGAGCTCTCAGCCACGGAAATACTTAGATTTCCAAGGGCACAAGCAGATTCTACTGTTTATTCTGAGTTGCCAGGTTCATCAAAACAGAGCATCAGGACTTTACTGCTGGGAACAATGTTTTATGCTACTGTTCGGTATCTTTCAAACACAGTTATACATGTTTTTTCACTTAGAGGTCTGTTGGAGACGCAATACTGAATTCTAGTCTAAGTGGTACAATTCAGTACAAGCCATTTCAGCTAAAGCAACTAAAAATCTGCATCATCTGGAATAATAGCCGATGGCCTAGTATGTAAATGCTACTGTCAGTAGGCTGATCAACTGAGCAATCCCATCATGAGGTGGTTCTAGAGAGAGATGCCACAAAACCGTAAAGCCTGTTTGCAGAAAGCACGCACAGCAAGTAGCAATGTCTTGAAGCCCTTCACTGAGTGCGGACAAAATCCACAAGTTATTTTAAAAGAGGGAAAGAAAAAGGGAAAATCCCCTAGCCATGATATCCACAGGTGATGAAATCCTTCCAAAAGCACTTTGGAGACTGCGCATCAGCTGGGCACAAGGCTTCGGCAATGAAACTCTGGTTTTACTGGAGTAACTTCCAAGCTCTTTGTCACCAAAGGCAGTTAAACCAGAAGCATTAAAAGAATATCACTGAGATCCAAGCAGTAAAAGTAACCCTAACTGTAAGAAAAAAACCAGACCACACTCCTAGCACACGTAATGCCCGCTCATGAGGTTGGTTTTAACTCATCTCTATTTTAACCTCTTTGCAATCGTACTACTTCAGCAAGGAAAGAACTCACCTCCTGCTCCGAACAGAGCACAGCTAACTCACACGGGCAGGAGAAGCTATGTGTGCTACCGAGTAACACAGGTATGTGAGCACAGATCGCTTTGATCACGCTTCCTAGGGAAGCAATGCAGCTACTGACAGAGCCAGGAGACAGACTGCCGCAGGTCAGGCATGGCACGAGTTACCCACTTCAGCTACTTATCCCTCAATTAACATTTACAGTTGGCATGCTGGTATTTCTCATGCTTGTTGACAGCCTCCTAATGATGATGACTAGGGGTTGAGGAGGGGGAGAACTTGCCAAAAAAGTATCTCTGTGCAATCCAAGACCGAGATGACGGAAGAACACAAATCATCAATGTCAAAGTTTTTGCTGTTTCCCTGAAAAAATTTAGAGCATCCAAGAGTGACCTAGAAAATTTGAAACATGGAGAGCTTTTGGAGCATGGCACACTCCCTCAAATCAAACCAGGCTTCTGCTTTAACTGAATTTGGCCAAACATTAAAACCTTCAGTAAAATCTCACTTCGGAGCCTCTTAACAATGAGCTGACAGCTCTCCAAGTATTCCACCCCACAGGTCATGCTTCAGCAGCTACCACAAGGGCTGCCAAACCACATGGAGACATGGATGTAGCAACCAGCGCCGCTGTGGATTGCTGTGGAGGAAGTGTGCTCTGGCTCTTCCAGTGGGATGGTAACCACATGCCACCATTCCTTGTCACAAGAAAGGCCATGGGTACCTGACTCAGTGGAATAGCAATTGTCAGTCTCAGCTTTACAGATCACATGCCTGGAGCGATACAGATAATTTCTGGAACAGAATCAAGGCTCAGCTCTGGAGCCCTCAAATCCACAAGGATCAGTAAGTCAAAGTTTTCTCCTTGGCTACAACCACAGAGCAGCAACCAAGGGCGTGCAGGAAGTGCTGTCCCCACACTCCTCACAGGAGGTGCCTGCACCACAAGCGAACCATATTCAGATCTCCTCCAGCAGCTGGCTTGTGCACAAAACCAAACACCACTTCAACTAATTATTTCCTTATATTGTTCATAGTTTGATTAAATGGAAAATATCCGTGCCATGAACTGAAAGGTTCTGGTATCCTTCTTGCTGACTAATAACCAAGTCAGAAGACTGACATGGTTCCACATGTTAAAAATTAAAATATCATTTGCAAACAGATATAAAATTGCATACAAAGATTACGACAAAAGAATGTTTATGGGCAGCACAGCAAAGCAGTCACATTAAAATACCAGAATTAACCTCATTTACGTGATGTTAATTCAGCCCTCTTATGCA